TTAAATGTGAGATGAATTAGTTAGAGGGTGTTTGGCGCCCATTAATTTTTTTAAAATTTTACTCTTTCTTAACTATAACCATACATTCTCCAAATAAAATAATATTGCATACGAATATAAAAAAATTCATTACTTTTCAACTACACATTCTTATATCCATCACTATTCCAAAATTTATAATTTCCCAAAAATGGGTGCCAAACATATAGTTATTTGTGGGCACATTTTAGCTATTTATTTATTTGGATTAAAGTAAATTGAAGACAAAAAGAATAGAAACTGGTTTCATTAGTATTGACAATTGCAAGATATACATCCAACTATTCTCTTATCCAGCTGTATACACAAGGCAAACTAAGGCCCCGTTTGAGCCACATTATTTTTTTCATTTTCATTCTTCTACTCATTTTTAACTATTCATTTTTCAATAAAATAATATTTTTCATCACATCAATAACGTTTTCTTCTTTTTCAACCCCACATTCCCCATCACATCAACAGTAAAAATACATTATTTTTCCAAAAATGTGTGCCAAATGGGGGCTAAATAAGAACCTGCTTCTAACATGAATGATGTAGGTATCATGTCGTACATACATCATTTGTCAACAATAACATAATTTTGACAGTTTCTAATTACATATAGTTAGCAAAAGAGAATTGAAGAGCACACTGCACAGTCATGTGGTACTTTTTGGAAAAACTCCAGGTCTTTGGTCATAAAACACCACAGATCAAAAATTCCAAGTATTTGGTCACAGGCAAAAGAAAATTGAGGATGCTAAGTTAGATATGAATCAAAAGTATGAGAAATTAGTGATCATGATGGCCCAGATGTCTTCTGATCTTAAAACTGAGCAGAAAAACAAAGGAATAGAAGGATCCACGGTTAACTTGAGGTGTGGGAGTGAGATATATACGCCCATAACTAGTAGTAATGAGAATAGTGTTAATACCAGAGGTGGGCTTAAGGGAAATAATAGGCTGCCTAAGATTGGTTTTCCATCCTTTGGGGGGAGAATGACCAAGGGAATGACTAAGGAAAGTTAGGAAATATTTCCAAGTCCATCAAAGATTAAGAGTTGCAGAGATGTATTTGGAAAGGAAGGCCGATATATAGTTTTATGCATTCATTGCGAGCCATCCTAATACAGATTGGGGAATGTTATCTGAAGAGTTGCGTAAGAGGTTTGTTGAGAATACATGGGAAGAAGTGTGTGTTGAGGGGAATACTGAAAGTTTGGTTGCTCGTAATGAAAAAGTGGAGAATGAAGAATAATTAGTGGGTTAGGATTATGGATTTCATGTAGGAGATATTGTTTGGGGTAAAATTAGGAGTCAGCCGTTGTGATCGGGACAAATTCATAATCCATTTGATGCTTTTGCTGAAGGTGAAGATGTAAAGAGAACTCAATGAATATTTTTTTGAAAATGATAAAATGAAGAACCAAAATAGAGAGTATCACTGGAGTATATAAAAATTTTCACTCTCTAAGTTGAGACACAACCAAAATAGAGAGTATCGCTGGAATATATAAAAAATTTACTCTCTAAGTTGAAACACTTTCTTTCAGTGTTTAAAAAAACGTAAAACATGGTTAGACGTAAAAGCGAAATTTCAAATTTTACGAGTTTAAGCAAGCCTAGGCGAGGTTTAGAAGTAAAAAAAATAAAAATAAATAAATATATAACGGAATTTGTTATATATATATCCTCTACATTATTAAAAGAGG